AACTACTGAGCCTGCGTTCTAGAGCCCGCGTGCCACAACTACTGATCCTGCGTTCTAGAGCCCGTGTGCCACAACTACTGAAGCCTGCACACCTAGAGCCTGTGCTCCGCAACAAGAGAAGCCACCGCAATGAGAAGCACACGCACCACAACAAAGAGTAGCCCCACTCGCTGCAACTAGAGAAAGCCTGCACACAGCAACGAAGACCCAACACAGCCAAAACTAAATAAATAAATTTATTTTAAAAAAAGAAATAAAATAAATCTCTTGCATTCCTATACACTAACAATGAAAGATCAGAAAGAGAAATTAAGGAAACAATCCCATTCACCATTGCAACAAAAAGAATAAAATATCCAGGAATAAACCTACCTAAGGAGGTACTGTACTCAGAAAACTGTAAGACACTTATGAAAGAAATCAAAGATGGCACAAACAGATGGAGAGATATACCATGTTCTTGGATTGGAAGAATCAATGTTTTGACTGTACTCCCCAAAGCAATCTGCAGATTCAATGCAATCCCTATCAAATTACCAATGGCGTTTTTTACAGAACTAGAACAAAAAATCTTAAAATTTGTATGGAGACAGAAAAGACCCCAAATAGCCATAGCAGTCTTGAGGGAAAAAAATGAAGCTGGAGGAATCAGACTCCCTGACTTCAGACTATACTACAAAGCTACAGTAATCAAGACAATATGGTACTGGCACAAAAACAGAAATATAGATCAATGGAACAGGACAGAAAGGCCAGAGATGAACCCCCACACCTATGGTCAACTAATATATGACAAAGGAAGCAAGGATATACAATGGAGAAAAGACAGTGTGTTCAATAAGTGGTGCTGGGAAAACTGGACAACTACATGTAAAAGAATGAAATTAGAACACTCCCTAACAGCATACACAAAAATAAACTCAAAATGGATTGAAGACCTAAATGTAAGACCGGACAGTATAAAACTCTTAGAGGAAAACATAGGAAGAACAGTTTGACATAAATCACAGCAAGATCTTTTTTGACCCACCTCCTAGAGTAATGGAAATAAAGTCAAAAATAAACAAATAGGACCTAATGAAACTTAAAAGCTTCTGCACAGCAAAGGAAACTATAAACAAGACAAAAAGACAACCCTCAGAATGGGAGAAGATATTTACAAACAAATCAACAGACAAAGGATTAATCTCCAAAATATATAAACAGCTCATGCAGCTCAATATTAAAAAAACAACCCAATCCAAAAATGGTCAGAAGACCTAAATAGACATTTCTCCAAAGAAGACATACAGATGGCCAAGAGGCACATGAAAACTGCTCAACATCACTAATTATTAGAGAAATGCAAATCAAAACTACGAGGTATCACTTCACACCAGTCAGAATGGCCATCATCAGAAAATGTACAAACAGCAAATGCTGGAGAAGGTGTGGAGAAAAGGGAACCCTCTTGCACTGTTGGTGGGAATGTAAATTGATACAGCCACTATGGAAAACAGTATGGAGCTTCCTTAAAAAACTAAAAATAAAATTACTATATGACCCAGCAATCCCACTACTGGCCATATACCCAGAGCAAACCATAAGTCAAAAAGACACATGCACCCCAATGTTCATTGCAGCACTATTTACAATAGCCAGGTCATGGAAGCAACCTAAATACCCATCAACATACGAATGGATAAAGAAGATGTGGTACATATATACAGTGGAATATTACCAACCATAAAAAGGAATGAAGTTGTGTCATTTGTAGAGACATGGCTGGACCTAGAGACTGTCATGTAGAGTGAAGTAAGTCAGAGAAAAACAAATATCGTATATTAATGCATACATATGGAATCTAGAAAAATGGTACACATGAACTGGTTTGCAAGGCAGTAATAGAGGTACAGATGTAGAGAACAAACGTATGGACACTAAGGGGGGAAAGCAGGGGTGCGGGCCTGGGGGGAGTGGGATGAATTTGGAGTTTGGGATTGACATATATACAGTAATACGTATAAAATAGATAACTAATAAGAACCTGCTGTATTAAAAAATAATAAAATAAAATTTTTTTCAGAAGCCCTATAAACTGGCTTTATTTTAACTTTAACTTGTCCCCCCTGTATCTAATATAGCCTTTTATGTCCCCAACTAGTTGAGACAGTAAATACTCAGAAGAGCACAGAATATCAGGGTAATTTTCCAGTGTGGGGATACCTGAGGCCACAAGAGAGAAAATGACAGCCGAGGGTCAGAATGCACATGAGCATTGTGGCTGAGGCTTGACGCAGGCCTGCAAACTCCCTGGTCTGGTGCCTTTTCCTACACACCCTGTAGCTTTCATAATTGATGAATGCTTGAGTCTCTGTGTTCCACTTCTCCTAGATGTATTCTTATCTTCCTTTTCCTCAATGCATTTTGAAGTATAGATATCTAAGTTGGGAGTCATCAAACAGGTATATAAGGATGAGGGCTGAGACTTCCTCTGAGGAAAAAGGAATTCTATGGCAGGAAGTAGCTCTTCTCGAACTCCAGGACCCAAAAAATAAACGTACTTGAGAGTCAGACTTCCTTCCAGCCATGTTCTTGGGCAAGTTATTTAACCTTTCTGAGCTTCAGTTTCTGTGCTGTGAGGTAGGTACACTCATACCTCTCTGGCAGGGCTGGTATTAGAATTAAATGAGGAAACATATGTTCAGCACCTAGCATGGTTCTTGGCACATGATAATAGTTCATGTTTCTACAAGTCACTCTACTATTCAATTCAGATGGTGAGTTTGGATAGCTAGGGATAGCCTGCATATATCCGTCAGGAAAAGAGAAACAGTCCTGGGTATATCAAACAGAGGGGATTTTATCAAGGGAATTAGTTACAAAAGGGAGAAGGAGGAAGGGATGACTCCCAAGGATCAGGAAGCAGCTAACATCCTGGGGCTGCAATCTCCAAGCTGACCTGCTTGCTGTGATCCAGAGATGCTGCCTGTGGTGGTTTCAAAATATGTTTGCAAATTCTTTGACCGTCTTCCCATCAGTAGGTGGACTCTTAATTCTCCTTCCCTGAATATGGGCTGGCCTCAGTGACTTGTTTCTAACAGATAGAATGCAGCAAATGAGATAACCTGGCTTACAAGATGAGATCCTAAAATGTGGCACACCTTCCCCTTGGCTCTCAGGACACTCGCTCTTAGAGCCCAGCCGCCATGTTGTAAGGAAGCCCAGGCCACACAGAAAGGACGTATAACTGCTCTGGCCTACAGCACCAGCCGCCAGGCAAGTGAGTGAGTGGCCGCGGCCAAGCATGAGACCCCAAGCCAGGACCACCAGTCAAGCTCCCAGAACTCTGAGGGGGAATCACAAAATGATTATTGTTAGAAGTTGCTAAGTTTGGGGGAGGCTTGTTTTGCAGCATTGGATAATCGGCCCAATGCCCCTGCCACTGCGGGAGCTGCTAAAGTGGTCTCACCCCTGCCCAGAGGCCACAGGGGACCACGAATATTGGAGGCAAACCGGGGAACTTCGCTCTTCCCTCACCCTCCGACCTCCTGCCACCGTCTCCAACTGGCAAAACCTGATAGGAAGTCACCAGGTAAGAAAGCCTGAGAAAGGTAGTTTACATTCCAGAGTGGAGTGTAAAGAATAGGCGTGTGTCTGGGTCCTACCAGATAAAAACTGCCACGTCCACTCCAGTGACAGGGCATCCGTGCACACCATTTAATCCATATGTGACCTTCCCACGGTAACAGCAGCACCCCCAGCTCCACCGACACCAGGGACTATCCTTGGTACAAAAGAAAATGCTCTTGCTTTCTGGCAGAAAAGAACATTATATCCGTCTCTGGGTGATGCTAATTCCTCTTGCAATCACAGTCTCACCTGACTGTCGTGTAACCTAGAAACTAACCTGTGAAGTTCACCACCGCTTCTTACAACCCATCTAATTTTTCTGAACTGGTCAGCGTGTCACAGCAGACACGCCCAGCATCTTTCTTTCATCACCTGTTCCGTGTTTCTACTGTCCTACTGGGGTGACCCAATCTTCCCTCCTGCAGGACCTGCATCCTTAGTGGTCCTGTCTTTATTGGGTCGTTCTAGTCTTTTATTAACTTTCACTGTTGAACATGTTCCAAGTTTTGCATGTTGAGTAGTGAGAATTTGATAATGCTTACTGTGCTAAAGACTGTTTCTTGCATTAACTCATTTACCCTCACTGCAATCCTATAAGGTCGGTACTATTACTATCCTACAAATGAGGAAACTGAGGCTCAGAGAGGTTAAATAATTTACCCAACGTCACACAGCTAGTTAAGCGGTAGAGCCAAGATCCACACACACGTTTGAATAGTCTGAATCCAGTCTAGGCGCCCGTAACCACTGTGCTTATCCACAGCTGGGCACACAGAAGGTACACGGTCAACGGTAGCTGTTATCATTCATGTTGCTTCCATTTGACTAATACTTGACTTTTGGGGAAGCTTTTACTCTCTGCCCTATAAAAATGACTAGTTAACTAAATAAAGCCTAAATAAAGAAATCTCCCTGATATCTGGCTAGAATTCCTTAAAACACTCTGAGAATTCACAACTGTCTAATGCAAAGCCTGATTCCCAAAGCAGCGTCCCCTAGAATTGAGTCATGGCTTCTGGTCATAACATGTCTCTTTCTCAGCCGGGCAACCTTGGAAAAAGTTTGGGACTTGGTGACCCAAGACTCATGAGCAAATCCCAGGTGAGCTCTGCCCCAGAGCAGCCGGGAGACATTGGGCCTCCCTGAGGGAGGCGATCGCTGAGCTTGCTCATGTGGTTGCAGCAGGAGCAGTCTTTGGGGGATGGGAGAAAAAATGGCAAGGGTACAAGTACAAGGCAGTGCGGCACTGGAGGGCTGCCCCTGCACACTGCGTGTGCCCACACGATCCCCAGGTGAGCGTCGGGAGAGCCGCGTGTTGAGAGGCCTTCTATACTCTGTCACGTGAGCAGAACTCCTTACAAGTAAGAGGTAATCCTGTCGTTCCTAAGGTGTCTCCACGGCCAGTCCTGGGTTGCAGCTCCAGCTGAATCATGGATTCCTGCTCCACTGAGGTACTGTGTGGCCCCGTGTCTCCCCGCTGAGCCCTGCCCTCCAGGACCCCCCCTAACTACCAAAACACCCTCAGTGAACAGAAAGAAGCAGGAGTGTGAATTTGATCAGACTCACTGTATCTGACTAAGAGAAGATGCTCGTCGACCCAGGCACTCTGTGTGGTCCTGACCAAAAAGTTCCCGAGCTCATCTAACCCACAGAAGTGCCCACTGGCAACCTGTGCTGAGGAGCAAGTGGGTCCAGTGGCACAGGTACCAGTGAGTGTGCAAGTCCTTTAAATTAATGGAGGATGGAACGGAACAGGGAAATGACCCAACAGTTGCCAAAGGCCTGTGAACACCAGGGGTCATACATAAACCGCTTCCTTTAATCCTTACCCTGCTTCGACAGCATCCATATGATTCCTGTTTTTTTTTTTTTACAACCAAGGAAACTCAGGGTTAAAGAGGTTCCATAGCGGGCCCACCACCCCACAGCTAGTACGTGGCAAGGCTGGGGTTTGCATTTGGGTCTGTCCGACTCAGAAGTTCACTTGCTGTTCAGCATCACACCCCACTTTGGCCCTTGCCTGCAAGAGGTGGGTAATTCTCTCCAAGTTCATCCAGATGATCTCTCCTGTGATTATTTTCAGCCATCACTAGCCTTGGGACTAAAGTCATCTGGTTTAGTTTCTCCTACACTATTTCTATTTCTTCTGAGATCAAGTGGAATGATAAAAACATTCCTTCCTAGAATGAGCTCCTTCTGGAGAGATGATGCATGAAATATCAGACTCGCTGGGGAGCCTAGAGACCGTTTACCCTCCCTCACTGTCCCGGTGGGATAAGGAGGTCCCAGACAGGTTGCAACTTCCAAGGCCACATGTATTTGCTGACAGCCTGGACTAAAACATGCAGCTTTTACATCCCACTTAATCCCCCTTTTACTTCAGCCTGCTCTTCTACCCACCCAGCAGGTAGGTCAATTGTAACAGCACCTAGGGTTTCAGTAGCTTTTATGAGATCAAGAAGAACAAAATCTCCAGGCTCATATTCTTTTCAGAAATTACAGGACACCTCACCTAAATGTAGCTCCTAACTCTAACTTGAGTTTCATTACCCTCAACCCCTTCCTATATGACTGACCAACTATAATGTTTGGGCTACAGACAAAAGAAAGTCTTTCCCTGGAATTCCAGGTTACCATGGGTTACATGGAAGTATTATACATCAGGGACTGTAGCAGGTGGAAAAGCAGGAAAAGGCTAAAGGCTCTCAAGAGAATTGAATTCAACTGGTAGTAATTCAATGTTGCTTAGCGATGTGGGGCTGGGGGGAGATGGGATCCCGCCCTCCGTAAGATTAGCAAGTAGGGAGGACAGAGTTCATCCTCATATCATAATACAAGATGAGAAGGGATCAATGCCATGAAGAGAAGTTCATGGATTAATTGACTTAGTACTTAATAAATGCTAACTACATGTCAACTGGAGCACTGATAATGAATAAGACATTGTCCCAACTCTAAGGATCTTACAATGCAGAAAAGTAGTCAGGTCAGTAAATTGTGAATTATGTTTGTCTGATAAATGCTGAATTATAGGGGTCACTATAGGCTGCTATGAAGATACATAAAAGTAAAGGCAAGTATTGTTTGAGCCCTCCCAGTGTGTCAGGCGCTATTCTCAGCATTCTCTCTGTATTTATTCATTTAATCCTCCCCACAGCCTTATGTAATAGGGACTCTTATTATCCCCTATTTTATGCCTGAGGAAATGGAGGCCCAGGGAAGCTATACCCTGCACACTGTTTCACAGCTCGTAGATGACAGCCAGGATTCAAAACTGGGGCGTCGGGTTCCAGAGCCCTTCCTTTTAGCCTCTTAGCTAAACCATCTTCCCATCACTTAGTGATCGCCTAGTCTGAAGGAAGGAGCAAGTGATGCCCAGCCTAGTACTTTAAGAACAAGTACGATTTACCCAGAAGAGGAGGAACAGTATCGCACACATGGGGATAAAAGCCCTGAGTGAAGTCATCACCGTGCATTTAGGGAACTAAAGTTAGAGCAAGAGCAATAAAATGCCGGGCTGATACCGTACAGAAGTGAGGCTGGAGAGATGACTGAAGCCAGATCATGAAAGGTCTTACAAGGCCTGTTAGTGTATTAATCCTTACCCCCAGAGCAATGAAGAGCCAGCAGGGATTTTGAGCTGGAGAGTAGAAAACGATTTTCATTTTATGGAAATGATTATGGCCTCAACATGGAGAATGGATTTGAAGGGACAGGACTCTGATCATCCAGTGGAGAGACAGTGGTGGTCTAGGGCACAATCACCAAGAATGGACCCAGAGAGACAACTTCAACTGATGTTTAGGAAGCAGTCTCAGTACAGCTTGATGGTTGAACATGGAGAAGGTGGCGTCAAGGTTCTGGCTGGGGCAACCAGGAGGATGGGGTGCTGTCTCCCAAGTCAGGGGTCCAGGACGAGGAGCAGATTTTGGGGTGATGAGGACGGTGATAAATTCAGGTTCTGGCATGCTGAGTTCGGAAGGAAAACCAGGAGAACAAGGCATCAAGTCATACAGGGGATAGTGAGGAAGTGTTAACTTGTATTCCTGTTCCCCTGAATGATCAGTGTTTCCTCCTTGGAGTGCCTGCCCTACGGGAGGATTAATTTTCTTCCCCCATAGATATCAGATTTAGCCTTATGACTTGTTTTGACCAATGAAGTGAGAATGGAAGAGACACATGTCACTTCTGGACAGAAACTTAAGGTGTCAGCCCAGAGTCTATCCTGTCTTGTTTCCCCCTGCCATAGGACTGGCAGTGTTCCAGGGAGAGGCAACGCCAACAGTCTGGTTCGCAGAGTGAAGAAAACGTGGAGCAGAGCCACAGCTGACCCACGATGCACTCTTAGCATGAGTGGAAAACAAACATTTGTGGTTGTAGCCTCTGAGATTTGGGAAATACTTGTTACTGCAACATAACCTAGCCTATCCTGACTGACTAAGTGGGAAAGGTCACATTCAATTGGGAGGGTCAAAAAAGCTGAACCCTTACCTCACACCATACCAAAATTAACTCAAATGGATCAAAGCCTAAGTGTAACAGCTAAAAATATATAACTCTTAGAAGAAAACATGAGTAAATCATAACTTTGAAGTAGTCAACGGTTTCTTAGAACACCAAAAGCGCAAGCAACAAAAGAAAAAAATATACTAGACATCATCAAAATTTTAAACTTTTGTGCTTCAACGGACACCATAAAGAAAGTGAAAAGACAGCCCACAGAATGGGAGAAAATATTTGCAAATCATATATTGGAGAAGGTCCTTGTACCTAGGATATATAAAGAACTATTTAATTCAATAATAAGACAACCATATTTTAAAATGGGCAAAGGATCTGAATAGACATTTTTCCAAAGAAGATAAACAGCCAATAAGCACATGAAAAGATGCTCGACATCATTAGTCATCAGGAAAATGCAAATCAAACCACAATGAGCTACCACTTTACACCCACTAGGGTGGCCCTAATCAAAAAAACAGAAAATGGCAAGCATTGGTGAAGATGTGGAGAATCAGAGCCCTCAGCCACTGCTTGTGGGAATTGAGGGAGGGTGCAGCTGTTGTGGAAAACCATCTTGCACTTCCTCAAATGGTTAAACAGTTACCACATCATCCAACAACCCCACTTTAAGCTACACACCCAAGAGAAATGATCACAGATGCCCAAACAAAAACGTGTATGTAAATACTCACAGCACCGTGATCCACACTAGCCAAGAAGTGGAAACATCCCAGTGTCCATGATGATGAATGGATGAAGAAAATGTGGTATACCCCTTACAACGGAATATTATTCAGCAATAGGAAAGAATGAAGTGCTGACACATGCTGCAGTGTGGGATGCCCCTTGAGCACATTACACTCAGCGAAAGAAGCCACACGCAAAAGACCCCATATTGTATGACTCAGTGTCTATTGAATACCCAGAATAGACCAATGTATAGAGAAGGTAGGTGAGTGGTTACCTGAGGCCGGAGGTGGGTAATGGAGGGGGCTTGGGAATGACAGCTAAGAGATGAGGGGTTTCTTTTTGGGTTATTGAAAATGTTCTAAAACTGACCGTAGTTACGGTTGCACAGCTCTGTGGATACACTAAGAACCATTGAATTGTACTTAAATTCAGTGGTTTAAGTATATTAAACAGTGAATTGTATGGTATGTGAATTATATCTCAATAAAGCTTTTAAAAATAAGCAGAAGAAAGGTCTTATGGAGAAGTCCCTTGAGATGGCCTCATAGGAATGGTAGGAGTTAAGGAGTTGACAGGAAACAGCAAGTAGGGCTTTAATTTCTTTTGCCTGAGAATTTAGAGTTTAGTTTTAGGGTCTCAAACCAGGGCTGCCTCTCATCTCTAAGCCAAGCTAGACTTTAGGACACAGGGACAGCTCAGAGGAGGTCCTACTCTGTTTGGTGGCCCTCCAGTGCAATGCCAAGAAATGCCTGGGTACATTGCTTCCAGCCCTCTGCTGGAGAGTAGGACTCCTCAGCCTGCCCCAGAGCCAGTGGTGCACTTCGAAGAGCTGCTGGGACTTTTGACCTGAGTATCTACACACCTCACATGTGAGGCAGCAGTGCCAAAACGGGGGGCCCATTGTGACGTCTGATGAAATCCAGTCTTACCACAGTCGCATACTGAGTGCAAGTTTCTCAATGTCTTATAGAAATTGGAGAAGCAAGTACGATTCCTGAGACTGGAGGGACTTCTAAGAGGGAATTTGCAGTGATGACGTATTTTCCTCGTTTGCTGCAGAGATGTAGCTAATCATCCTGCAAAAGGCCCACAGACCTCCATGTCCTTGGGCAACTATGGCAGACGAAAGTCTCAGTCTGTTGATAGAGTCACTTCCCTCGAGAAGGATGATGTAGCACTGAGGATGTAACTCCTAGGGGGGTTCCCTGGGAAACAGACTCTGAGAAGGGGATCGGCCTGCAGGAGGTTTATCAGGGAGTGGTAGAGGAACAGCCCCTGGAAGAAAGCGAGGGCAGGCTGAGGGAGAAGCTGGGCTGGGATGCAGCTTCAATAGTGGCCTCCGCTGGTCCTCCAGGGAAGCTCTGGGGCCGGGTGGTCTTGCGGAGTACTCCCAGATTGGAGCACGGCAGCCAGGTCTGTGTTCCAAGGCAACAACTCTTTTCAGAACAGTTTCTTTCCTTTTCAGTTGTCTGGAACAACTCTCTTCCAGATCTTTTCAGCTATAACACCTCAGAGCCCCTGTAATATAGAACAAACATTCAAATATTGGCTGTTTATATGTTAACACTTTTTTTAAGCCCTTTTCTCTAAAGATCCCACAGACCTGTGCAGCCCAGCATGGTGGCCACTAGACACGTGGCCATAGAGCCCTTGACGTATGACTGCTCCAAAGTGAGATGTGATGTGAGTGTAGAATTTATGCCAGATTTCGAAGACCTAGCATGAAAAAAAAGAATGTAGGATGACTCATGAATAATTTTTAATATTGATTGTATATTGTGATGATAATATTTTGGATACCTTGGCTAAATATATCATTAATAAGTGTTAATACTAATTTCACCTGTTCCTTTTTACTTTTTAAGATTTTTTTTTTCTTGATATGGACCATTTTAAAAGTCTTTATTGAATTTGTTACAATATTGCTTCTGTTTTCTGTTTTGGTTTTTTGGCCATGAGGCATGTGGGATCTTAGCTCCCCGACCAGGGATTGAACCCACACCCCCTACATTGGAAGGTGAAGTCTTAACCACTGGACCGCCAGGGAAGTCCCTACTTTTTTTGTTTTAATGTGCCACTGTACAGTTTAAAATTGTGGCTCCCATGATGTCTTCCCTGGGTAGTGCTTCCCTGGACCTTTACACACAGTCTGTACCCTGGTTTCTTTCTGAAGTGCGATGAAGACTGTTCTCTCTTCATGGGATGACTGGTAAGAACTCTCTTCATTTCTTCTAGTCACCCATGCCTTGCCCATGGAAGCTCTCACAAAAGTTTGTTGAGGAGAATGATGAAGCAGGAACATCCCACTTTGTTTGACTTCCCTCTTTTAGATGTTCCTGTGCCATTGTATCAGCTTCATCACGGATGGGAAAGAAGAAAGATTGTGGGTGTGTCGAGGATGTGTAAAACAAAGAGTAGCTTCTTAGGACTTTGTGATGTCATTCAAAGAAAGCAGTTGGGGAAAGATTATACAAACACAATGGCCACTTTGTGCAGAGTCTTAACAGCTATATACATGTCTCTGAATCCTTTTTCACGGGCATTATCTAACTTAAGCCTCATAACAGTGCTGTGAGACATATATTTTTATTATTCTCATTTTGCAGGTGGGGGAACTCATCTCTCCAAACTCTGGTTTATATTACCTGCCTGGCCCTGTGGGATCTGAGGTTTTGACGCCCTGTTCCTTGGCCAATTACATATTTTTATATTGAAAACTTAATTGAAACCAAATGAGTAAGGTTCCAATATATGCTTTAGTCCAAAAACCTTGATTGAAAATTTTCATCAAATGCATTTACATTGTGATTTAAATATTTATTTAGACTTGATTCCATCCCTGGTACAGGAGATTCCATTTCAGTTTTTCTTTTGTAACTATACTCTAGTTGTTTAACATAACCTTATTATGCATCCTTCATAACTCAAAGATAATTTTAAGGTTTCCTTTTTGGGAGGACCAGATGCTGAAAGCAGTTTGGTTTTCAAATTTTGGAGCTCTTCCAGAATCCGATGCTAATCGAAGCACATAACTGTGAATTCACTGGGAGGTGACCTATTTCCAAGTCAGCAGGTCAGGGAGGGGCTTGGGTAATATTTTCATTATTTTTATTAAGAGTACAGCCACAGCCACCACAAATGTAGAGCTCTCAGTGGTTTTATTTAACTAGAACAACAAACATATGTTTCCCAGATATCTTTATTCAAGACAAAAGAAACAGATTTTCTTCCAACAAAAGAATGAAAGTTTTACAAATGTTTAACTCATTTATAAATGTAAAATACATGTATTTTTAAAATATGCAATAAGCATATTTTATGATGTTTCTATCAGAATATTTTTATGCTTTATTTATATATATATATATATATATATTTTTTTTTTTTTTTTTTT